CCGATTTAGTTAAGAACATCAAAATCCAGACATTAAAGCGACCAAAGAGAAATCTTCAAAATGGAAAACCTGAAATTTTTCTTACAGCATACCCTGATTTCTAGAAAAATGAATGGATCTGATAGAGAGCGAAGAATTTCTTGCGCTATATAAAAAGTGAAGAATAGTCCAGAAATCGAAAGGGAAAAGGTCAAGGATAGAAACAAAAAGTCAGAAAGATCAGACCTGCATGTGCCCATGTGCTTGCCGTCGTTGGTGAGTGCAGAGATGTATGGAGAAATCGATAGGTGTCTCTGGTAAGATTCGAATACCATTCACTCCACTGATAATTCCAAATAATAAACTAATACGGATCATCTAAAATTATCATTTTGTATTATTTGGTAAACATCGTTAAGTTCAAAATGGCTTCGACAACGGGAATAACAAGAAGATAATACGGAAGGTGTAGAAGTATACCGGAGCGCAATAAAGTACTTCCAAAAATGTTTCTTATTCATATTTTCCTGATGATATTTTCCATCGTAACAATCGAAAATGCTTAAGATCTCATATTTGACAGGGGTATCAAAAATATTTTCCTGCTTCAAAAAAAACTTGCATACGGGGTGGTCACAGAACTGGTAGATAGTCACTTATAGCTGTGATCTGACTCAAACCCATAAAAATTCGCAACAAAGTCACCCCAAACAGACCAAACAATTTATTTTTCCAATTCAGCTGTACTTTTAAATTAGAAAAAATCTCCATAAAATGTGGTTGATCACTCCAAAACGATTAGGAAAAAAATTTTCGTCAGTGGCGCAAAACTCTTTTTTTTTCGAACCTAAGCTTTTAAAAAACACTTTGGGAAGGACCACATACCCGGGAAATACGCACAAAAGGTACTTGTAAAAATTATATGTAGAAAAATAATACAAACAGTTGAAATAGTGAAATAAAAAACCGACAAAGCAGCCTGGTCGACTCTTGCTCGCACGAACGCCTAGCTGTCGATAGATAAATGGCAAAACTTAATTGCTGAAGCCGCTGAATCAAGCCTTATCGTTGATAGATCAACTGAGTTTTTCAACGACTACGCCTATTTGTCCTGAAGAAGGAAATCGTTTAAGGCAATGAGTAAAAAGCCTTTAAAGTCTGGGGCGTTAATCAATCCCGTCTGAGTTATGCGCCCAGCATTCGACTTCCACTCAAATTCGTAGAGGCATACTGAATGCGTATGTAGCCTATACAACGACTTGCGGTGGCCAGCCGATGTACAGGTCAGTGCTTTTATCTTCTCAGACGAGTCTGGTACCAATTAACCATCCCCAGGGGATGGATGGCTCGCTTCGCTTAGGCGGATATCGAACCCGTGACCATGGACTACTTTGAGTGAGTACGAGAAAAATTTCCTGCAGTATGCCTTAAAAGCTTAGGAATGGGTCTATCATCTGCGTTTCTCTGCCTATCTACCTTCTTGAAGTTCCGACTAGCAGAATACACTAGGTGTGGAAGGGAAAGGGGTTGGCATCGTTCGGTAAGCTTCAAAATGCGCTATGTAATGGATTTTCTTGCAGAACTTCAATGTTTTCCAAACATATTTCGCCTTTATAAGAGCTTTCAGGACAACTCGATCCGAAAGCAAGAGCTTTTACTATTCCAGACAAGTTAGGTACCAATTAAACAACAGTGTTTGGGGTATAAGGCTCAGTAGATCTGCACGGGTATACATAGATGATTCAGAGTTGGATCCTTGAACAATCGAGCGATGAAGGGAAGGGATGAAGGGAAGGAGTTAGATTCAACACTACCGTCATTTCTCGCTTTCTTAGATAACTCAAGCCGTTTAAACCCAAATAAAGTAGAAGTTTTCGTCACCAGAAGGGAAACTAGCAGAAGCTATCATTGAGTTCCCACAAACGGCTTTACCTTCGCAAATCTTTGAAGCCATTAGCCGAAAACACTTTCAAACGCTACCAGATTTCGAAGAAAAGTCGACTGCATGTCTCATACACAAGGAGATTAATCAAAGACAAAAAGCTTATCTTCCAACTTCATCAAGAGAACCAGTTGAAGGTAGCGCTCAAAAAGCAGTGGATTTCAATAATAGAACCTAACGGTTGGCAATTTGTCTCGCTGAGTTGTCACAGTAAAAAAATCTTAGCAGAACTTAAATGGACTTCGGCTGCACTAGGATCTTCGGAACAGCCTTGGTATTTTACATAATGATCTTGGAAGCGAGGTGGATGATGAACTAAAAGGACAGCAACTATGCAGTACTCTCAAACCTCCATTTATTAATAATGTGCAGAGCTGAACACGCTATCAGATCCTAAAGGAAGGAGGTATCGACATGCTATGAAGTAGTCCGAGTGTACGGCATGGAGTCCAGAGCGGGTTCATTTATTCACCTGAGTCGAAGAACTCTACGCTCCAAATAGTTTAAGGGATTCAACCCTCCTCCCTAATCTTTCAACTCTTCAGCTCAAGAATTTTCGAAGGGTTGAGTGTGGGGTCGGATTGCATCACAAGGGTTAACATTATAAAGTCGCATATGGATACTTATGGTTAAATGAAGAGAAATCAGTAGAAAATGGCGATGAATAGAAGAAGAGGAAAAAATAGAAACCTTAAGGACCACAGGCATTACTATTTTGAAGGCATCATTGTACGATAGAAAAGGCATATTCATAGGGGGCAAGAATCATCACCTCATCAAGCAATCAATCAATCATTCAATCAATCAGGCGATCAATCAGTCAATCAATTATAACCAATCAGACACCAAAATCTCGTCCCTCTGCTCGAAACTTAAAAGAAATCGCAGAAGGGTAAATTGGCATGAAGGCGTGAAAGCGTGATCAGGTTATGATTCATTATCGGCGATCAAAGTCTACATTGGAGCGATCAAGACCATCATGAAGAACTCGGAAATTCACCTAAAAGCGCTGAAGGCAAAGCAAGAAAAGGGAGAATAGGGACTAATTTATAAGGACCTCATGGTAGTCATATAAAAGCGATCGGATGGGTAAGGGCCCCGTTCATTAAATGAAAGTCCATAACTGCAAAGTAGAGTTTTGTCAGAAACGGTGAGATTGACAGCTCCGAGAACTCTAGGAGAAGGTGGCAAAAACTCGATCGGATAGCGTTTCCGGCTCAAGACTTGATAATGGTGGCCGGTCGTAATTGGGTTATTGTCCGCGAATAAAGCGCTCCGAAGGCTCACAATCAAAGCCGCCACATTTCGCCTCTACATAAATGAATTTCACTGAATGCCCGGGGACATGTCACAAAGTACACAAAAACCCTTGTGTAGACTGAAGCCGAGTTTGAGCGGATATCTGACTGGCGGTTGTCCACCCGCACACGAGTCCGTTAGCTGCCAAACTGGCTGGTCAACGCTTGAAGTGCCTAGTTGACACAATCGGATTAACCTTGTGTTTACAGACAACACTTCCTACCGGAAACAAGGTCCCTTCAGAATCGTGGTTGGGGACCCTGGAAAAATCGATAAAGTCTAGAATTCAGATTTCAACCATGGAGACCAAAGTTGCTGACGGAATTTTTGAATTGAAGGAGGTAAAAATTTCCTAAAATAAAGTATTGGGCAGGGAACTATGTACACGCTCAGAACTATTCTGACCCCAACAAAGACGCCATAAAGGGCTCATCATGATTAATAAAAACTAATAAAATCGGATACAAAGCTTTTACTGTACACTGAACACAAAGTCAATGCCAAACAGGGAAATGTTCATTTGCTTCTGCTTGGAAGACTCGAAAGAACGAGGCTGCTTGGAAGATTCAGTTAGCATTTTTGGTCTTCATAATTGTGACCGTACCAGTTCAGGCTTTATTGAATTACCTAGGCCTCTGCCTAGTGCTCCACTGAAAGTCGGAACCTTTCCCTGGTCTCCCTTTTTCTCTAAATATCCATCGATTAGATACATTCACCCAGATGTAAAAAGCAGCAAGGCCTTTTAGAGGGCAATTTTCCTATTTTGGAAATTTAAGGTGGTTGAAAACGGTTCCATGCTCCCCGGAATGGCCTCGGGAATGATTCGATCCTCCAGGTTAGGACTGCAGGTTCGACATTGTTTCAACAACCTCGCCCAGTCCCTTTCCCGGAAACCCATTTTTGAATTTTACATTTCGAATTTACATAGATTTGGGACTGATTAACCCTAATTAATCCTATACCCTTTCTTGCCTTGGACTTTTTTCTTGCAGGCGGAGGAAGTTCTTGCGATTGGATTTGAAAATGGAAAAGATTAATGAAATCCCTTATGAAGCAATGAATTGGAATAAGTAGGAGATGAAGTTCCACTCAAAAAGGCTTGTCCTGCCTTCTTGGGTGGTCGAGCTTCACAACAGCAAATCAAGCAGTAGGAAGAGAAGTTCCCTAAAGCAAGTTCCGGTCGTTGTTGCACTTTCTTGCCACTACGCATAAATCCTTTTTACGTCTCCCATAAAACGTCTTCCCCATTTACGACTTCCTTTTTTCACTCTCCTATCAGGGCGTTCAAGTGATATTGCCATACAATTGCTAGAAGACAAACATAGTGTCCGAGAAAAAAGTTCTTATCCGATGAGTAGAGGGGTGGCCGCTGGAAAAGGCGCTGTTTTCCTGCATATGGTCGTGGGATCAGATTCTGAGTGGGATCTCTTCCACGCAAACAAAATGTGCTTTCTTAGACAGTCGGCCCTTTCGACTGAAGGGTATTTACTGATGATAAATACAATGGAAGCCCTATGAAGTGTACGTCTATGTTATGGACACTTCCAAAAGCCTCTCAGTTTTGAATGAATGATAGATGCATGGCGGCTCATAGAAAAACACGCCAGCTCAATCCTAAGCGATTTCGGATCTTTCAGTATGGTGAGGACCACTTCACAGATGTAAAGCTAGCAATTATTCAGAGAATCTGAATATTTCACTTGAGAGGACCCTCTCTAAATGCAAGAATAAATAAATAAATAAGTAAATAACAAAACAGTTGAGCAAATAGGAGAAACGAGCCGAGGAGAAGGCATGAACTCATCCTGAATGTTGTAGAAACTCCTGTTAATGTGCTCGACATCAGTCGCGGAGCTTCACTCCCATGGGAAACGTGAAAGGGTCGACTTTCATCGAATTAACTGGTCATCAATTGAGATAGGGCGCACGTGTGAGAGTTCTCAACCTACACTTAGGCTATAGGGGGTATTTTGAAAAAAAGGCTCCATGGCGGATTATATCATGTCTCCATTTAATATGAGCGACATTTTCCTAGTACCATCCGTAAAATCGATCTACGACCCCTATCATCTGTTATCAATTGTTATCACACTTATGAAACAGAGATGAGTTTGACAAAGGCTATCTACTTATGAAA